AATTTTTAATGTGTTGAATATTGTGCTCAAAGTTGTGAATAAACTGTCTGCAGTTCAGATTTTGTTAGTGTTTTGTTCAAGTACTTTCAACCATCTCAGTCATTATCAAGAACCAGTGGGGTAGTTAAAATTCCATTGTCTACATCCTGGTATTCCTTGGGAAGCTGGAAGTTTGAAATAGTCTATGGTGATGTTATGTGTAATGGTTATTGGGAACGAGGCCACGCACACACAAAAAATGGAATTTATTTAATTTTTCTTTTTTATTTACAATTTTATTTTTTTATCTCATTTATTTGTATTTTTCTCTTGCATTCAACACATTTAATGTGGACACAAAATACAAATAAACTATCTTGATGAGCATTTTTATTTTGTCTCTTTTGTTGATTAGCTTATTTGTTTCTATTCTTTTGTTCTAAATTTACTGCCAGAATAAAGTTGCAGTGAAGTAAAAAAACTGAAATCAAAGTAAATACTAGTCAAAATTAATGGCTAGTAGTGTCTTACCTAATAAATACTGATATAACACTTATACAAATAAAAAAACGAATATCATGCTAAGAAAAATTATGAATGGTGTGTTTATTTGGCTTTCTGAAAAGTCATAAAGTCCTTGTAGCCTAATAGTTAAAGCAGCTGGTGTGTTCAATCGGGGTTCCTTCAGATGAAATTGACATAAGTTCAAATTTTCCATCTCTGGGATTTATTTTCTGCAATAGATTTAGTGGCCCGAGCCAAATTGCAATAAAAAAACAACTGAAATTAAGATGAAAGTAAATCCTATTAAAAATATATATACATTCAATGACAAAATTATTCATAAATCCATCAATTTTGAATATTTTTATCCATTTCTCAGAATCTAATGCTTGTATGATACCATGTTTTTTATATGTTAATAAGCACAAAAACAGAATATAAAACTCAATTTTCATAACAATGTGTTAAATACAACAAATTTGATCGGCAAATTATGCAAAACAGGAAAAGACAAAATTATTTGTACAGTATGAAAAATAAAAAAATTGAACAATTTTCACAATATTAATAATCAATAACATGACCTCTCATTTCTATAACCTGCTGCAATCATTTTCTAAAGTTTTTGATGAGATTTGAACAAGTCTTTTCTGGGATTTTCTTCCATTCTTCAATGGTTACAAGTTTTAATTCCCAAAGGTTTTTTGGTGACTGACAATTTATTCAAACCTTCAATTCTTGCCATAGATTTTCAATAGGATTCAAGTCAGAATTCATTGAAGGCTATGGCAAATCTGTAATCTTTCTTTTCTGAAGTCACATAGTCACTGATTTGATATATGTTTTGGATCATTATCTTGCTGGAAAGTAAATCGCTGATCAAGATGAAGATTTTGGGCTGATATTTGTAGATTCTGAGAAATGGATAAAAATATTCAAAATTAATGGGTGTATAAATAATTTCGTCGTTGACTGTATATATATATATATATATATATATATATATATATTTCACAATGCTTCATCTTGTGAAAAAGATAATATTGATGACCTGAGTGAAGCTTCATTAAAAAGCAACTGAAAGTAAGACAAAAGTAAATGCTAGTCTAAATTAATAATTATGTTTGTCAATGCTTCATCAAATGGAAAAGTTAATATTGATAGCTTGAGTGAACTTGCAATAAATAGTAACTGAAATTAAGGCAAAAGAAATGAGTCAAGAATTAGTAAACTTCAAAAAGTCTGGGATGAATAAGGAAAAATTCATTCCATCAAAAAGTTTTTTTTTTCTTTTCAGAAATTTCTGTGTCATGTTTTTCAGAATTCATATATTGAATTTTGTTCTACTAAGAAATGACCGACTTGAAACTTTTCCCAATATCTATTTTCTCACTTCAATTAAACTGCCATAAAAACATTAAGCATTGTCATAAAAAGAAAAAAAAAATCAATCTAATACAGAAGTGAAAAAACTTGAACATATGGATTGATGCTTCATAGACTGAAACCTTTTACTCGATGAGATAGAAATTACTTAATGGCAATTGTCGAGGTTGACTAGAAGGGTAACAGTTATTTAGTGCTGCCTCTGTCAGCTTCCATTAATATAAACAATTTTCCCTACCAAATCTAAGTTCTTGTGTTAAACGCAAAAACTTAGCTAATAGGAGTAGGAAGTCATAATAGGTGAAAAATTACAAGTATAACACAAGCACATTTTTCTATATTTCTGAGATGAGGTATTATGTACATTATTCGGATTATTATCCTCATCTTTATTGCCATATTTATTACAATGTTTTGGCCATTGTACCCTCCGGCCTTCTTCAGGTGGTTGTCACTGGATCTAACTAATGCCTTTATTCACTGTGCCATGTGTCCTTGTGGACATCTGTGTATGAATTCCTGGGTATTATAAACCTAATGTCTTCAGCAACCATTTTTTACCAGTGCTCATATTGCTGTTTTGCTGTTGTTATTGCTTTTTTCTGGCATTCCTTATTACTGGTTCCCATATTGTATTCATTTCTATGCTTGGTCGGCTCAGCAGATTTTTGTGGTCTAGCATATGTGCTGATTCCTTAAGTTTATGAATTTTCCAATGGTGTTCTTTGTCTATGATCTCACAGAGGGCAGTGATCTCCCTTCTCTCTCCATATGTGTTCAGCCATGTCTGATTTTTCCACTTCCCCCTGTGTTACAGCTTTCTGGTGTTTTTGAAGCCTTACCTTAAGGGGGCGGCCTGTCTCCCCTTTATATTTCTTTCTGCAGCTGCAGATATCTCTCCCGAGTAAGACCCCCCCCCGATAGAGGAGAACATGACTAAAGACTGTGTGCATGCTTTTGTGCACCTATTATAAAGGCAGGATAACAATTTCAGATAAAAAGGATTACCAATTGGGAAAAGAGAAAACAATACAAGAAGGCAGTAGTAAAACAAACATTCTCATATTTACTCAGTGCTCATATTTACTTTTCCCCTGCCATCTATTGTGGCATGCCAGTGATGAGATATTTTGTCAAGATGTAATGAAACAGATTCTAATTGTTTATTCATGCATTTTCTAAGGATATTAGTTTAAAATAACCACAAACAGCTCCAAGTGAAATTTGAACTTTATTTGATGATTTACACATCTACATTTGGACTATTATCCTCATCTTTGTTGTTGCAATGCTTCCGCCATTGTGCACTTAGCCTTCATCAGGTGTATATCAATCCAAGTAACCTACAAGGAATTCCAAACCAAACCCTTTATTTAATCTACTGGACTAAACTGTTCTCACTCCACTGCCTACATCTTAGGATATTTTGTCTAGTTTTTATTTTTAGTACTGTTCAGTTATTGCTTGCTCTGTTTCCACTGAATCCAAGTACACCTAGCCCATGGGTTGGACTCACAATTACAATGTCATGAACCAATGTTTTAATCAACTAGGCTATTGTTGTGGAGTACTTGGAGCCATAAACCTAACCTTGCCTGTTGATGAGTGCTGCTGCTGTTTGTTATGCTTGACTGCACTCAGCTGAAGCTTGTCTCTTTTGTTACAGCTGCTGCTGAAGACTTGCTGTCATTTGTCTTTCTTTATTAATGGCTTCCATATAATATTTTTTAAACTAAAGCTATTATACACACTGAATATTTGACATGACTAACTCTCCTGTCTTCCTCCTTGTCCAGTATTTTCACTTCATTCCACAGTGGCTGATGACTACCCTTTTCCCCTCCAAATATGATTAGCACTGTCTAATTCCATTGTTTCACCACTCATTATGGCTTTTTAATATTCCTCCAGTCTTACTTTTAGGGTGCAGTTTGTTTCACCTTTATCTTCTTTGGTTCAGTTTGGTTTTGTTTTACAGCATATCAACCTCAATGGGTTATCTAATGCTGACAAAATTTTTATTGCTGATAATATTTTGTTTTATCACAAATCTATTTCTGGTAATATTTTTCCTTCAAAAATGTATCACTGGTAATAATATTTTCTTTTTTTTTTTTTTTTTTTTTTCCAAAAATGTATTGCTATTAATAGCTTTTTTTCTTCAAACATTTATTGCTGGATAATAATTTTTTTTATACAAAGTATTTCTGGTATTAAAACCTCTTTTTACACTTTCATAGTGTTTTTACCCCAGTTTCAGGGTTAACTATTTGCCCATAGCTCGGACCCTAACAGGTGTTACCACCCTGGGTCAGAGTGGACCTGGGAACACCAGCAATTAAGAGGTGGTTCCACACTCCTCAAAACCACCTGATCAGAGGCCTTGCTGCTGGACGTAGTTTATCGTCTTACCCAGGATGCAGATGTAGTTTATCATCCTACCCAGGATGCTTATCTTCTTTGCCACAACTGCAAAGAATGGATTACACGCAGTTCTTGCTTATGTTCTCCTATGTGTTAGGGTTTTAATTGGCAGAGATTTCTCTACAGAGTGAAGTTGCTTCTGTATATTGTCCTGACATTGTATACATCAATGCTACAGTTTCTAAAGGCATGTGTGAGCATCAATACAAACAAGATGGAAAATGAAGTAGGTGCAGGTGTATTGCCCTGCTTCACACCTTTCTCAACAGAAATTTGTTCAGACAGAGTACCATTGATGTTCAACCTAGCTTTTGTGTTGCTGTGCATTTCTTTAAGCAGCCTGACAAATTCAGGTAGGCAACCTAGTTTTCTTAGAATTGTCCACAAGGAGTTCCTATTCACAGTATCAAACAGCTAGGTCAACGAAAACTTGTTGTCAAGCTGTGAAGATCATGACCATTGTTCCTCTACCAATGCAATACCCACATTGACTCTTTGGTATCACTTAAGAACAGATGTGACTTTGGAGGCAATTGAACAAGATCTTGGCAAAACTTTACCAACAGCTTCAATTAAGCTTATTCCCCTGTAGTTACTACAATCTGACTATATATACATATATAAACTTAATAATCTATTATATATGAGCACATTGATGAGCAGTTAGAATGTTTTGACAATGAAACCCAGCTTTGAATTTCATGACTTACGGCCATATAGCATTGAAATATTGGTTCCCATATGATCACCAATGTTAAGCAACATTGAGCCTGGTCACTACATAGGTAGGTGACCACTTGAGAATACCAAGTGATGTAAGCTTGGATGTTCAGGTGGTATAATGGAAAATGACTGACTTTTTAACCAGAGAACCAAGTTCCAATTCCAGTTGGGTTTGTTATATTGTTATAGAGGTGGATTCATACCTTGGAATCCCCCAGATATCTGTTAATTAGTAAGACTATTATCAATAAATCATCTCGATCTTCCCCAAAATTCTCACAATCTAAAAATATTTTCTGACTTTAAATAACCTACAAAGAGTTGATAAGCCATAGAAAACAAATCAATCAATCAAATCTCACTCTGGTCAATTTGTCAGGGGCTTAGTGGAACTGACTCCCAAGAGGTTGCTTCTCCAATCACTGCAATCTTAACCTGTTCAAGTTTAGGGTTAGCCATTATCTTCTACATACTCTTTTACTCCATTATCCTCTACTTTGAGTGGCCCTCGGGATTTGTACTAGCTGAACATCATTGTAAAAAAAAAAATATCTGACTTCTTGATAGTATCAATCTGAAAAGACAATTGCATCAAGTGACACAATAAGGAAGTGCCTGATAATCATACCACAGGTTGATCCAAGATTTCTGAATAAAATTGAGTAAAAGCTGTTGACTACAAAGTCACATGTCATCGTGACCAAGACTTTGAGTGTACTGATCATACCAGATTATGCCCTCTCTGTTACAGCATAGTTTCAGTATAAGCTTGCTCTGTTGAGGTTGAACAAATACAAATGTGCCTGTAACAGGAATTAGCCAACCTCTCTAGTGGGTTTCATAGTCACATAATGGTTGCTTAATTAATATAATACTTTTTTTTTTTCAGTTGATGATAATCTTCATCATCAGACTATTGAAATATACAATTCAGGCTTTATTTTGATTAGCACCAGTTGACTGCCAGAAGTCAATTACAAAATCTGACTTCAAATGTCAATTTTATAATAGCAAAAGCTAAGGCAATAAAAAGTTTTATGATTTGATTTATAATGTCAACTGAAGTGTAAACACACTTTTCACACTAAAAGTATCATTTTAAATGAACTCATGTTGGTACCTGCAGACAAAAATGTATCAGAAAATGCCAAGCATGAGTAACTAGTAGTTGGCATGAGATTAGTCATGGTTGGTAGTCAGTGTTTTAAGATCTGGCTTCATTTAAAATGTTTGTTGAAGAGAGAATTTGAATAAATGATATGGTTCCAACTTCAAGCAAATCATCTGACCATTTCCAACAGATGAGGAACATGAATCATTTCACCCCAAACAAGGCAGGAATGCCACTAGTACGCAGGGGGTCACAGAGAGTCAAAGGGAAAGAGAAGACAGAGAATAGGGAGAATTCAGGAAAGGACAAAAGATGAATGGGATTCAAGAAGACAGAAGATGGCAATTGACAATTCATTTAAATTTTTGAAGATTGTTATTATCAGGGAAGCAAGTTACACTTCTCACCTGTGGAACTCCCTTCCACAGGTGAGAAGTGTGAAAAAAAAAATGTTTGACTAGAAGTGGTGGTTGCATTTAGTAAAAGGGTGGGATTTAGATACTAGTCTAGTAGCACTCTTAAATTCAAACAGATGGGGTACCAGGGAATAAAGCTCATTGCCATGAAAATATTTGTAGAAAAGAAAGAAAGAAGCCACATCATGTTGGTGATAAAGTGACTGAAGTTGAGATGCCAGGTCAGGATTGATTATATAGCGTGTTCCAATGATTTTTTTTCCTTTTCTTTTAGATTTAATAACTTAAATCTTTGGCAATTTCGACCATGGAAAGATTAACAATCAATGTTAGTTATCGAAGCCTATTACAAAAATGGATGTTCAAATTTATAAATATATGGCTCACTGATTCCGCTAGCAAAAAATGCACACCAAAAAGTACAATGTTTTCAGCTGAACAGTGTAAACAAGTACGCAGTGGTGTTTTCACATCTGCCACTGACCCAGTTTGTTTGAATTTATGAACAATTTTTACAATTGTACTCTTGACTGGTTGATTATGTTGACCAAAAAAAATCACAAAGTGCACTTCTGTTTGAACGTCCATTTTCGTAATAGGTTTTCATAACTTTAACATATTGTTTAAGTCTTAAGTTGTTAAATCTGAAAGAAAACAAAATTCATTAGACACTTAAATTTAATTTAGATTTAAAATTGGTCCAAGTTATTGGAACACTCTATATTACAGATCCTTTTTTGGATTTGTCAAGAATCTTGAGATGTGCAGCAGGAGCACCAGACTAGATGTGACAACAGTATTCAATGCACGGACAAATGGTAATATTTCCATTTCTGCTAACAGTGGCACCAATTTGGCACTACTTCTGGTGCTTCTCACTGATTGACTTACTGACCATCATAGCTAATCACTTTTTATATTTATTCATAGTCAAAATCATACAATCACACATAAATCCCATGATCTGGTTACAGGCTTTGATTTCATTGAACCATATTTATATTCAATGTGTTAAACTGACAAAGACTATTGAGAACTTCTCTTTAGTATTATTTTGTGTGCCTTGAACTATATTTTTTTAATGATATGTTCATGGCATGAGGAGAAAAAAACTGTATCAACTTAAATATCCCCCACCACATTCATTGTTTAGAGGCTTATCAACTTCTTACAGGTCATTTAATGCCAAAATTTATTTTTCTTGGGAGCATTAGTAATTTCTTTTACAAAAAATGCATTTCTGATAATTTAAATTTTTTTTTTTTTTACAAAAATTTTTGCTGGTAATTCTTACTACTATGAAAATGTATTGCTGGTATTTTTACTATAAAAATGTTTATATTTTCATAGTGTTTTGACCCCAGTTGGGGGTTAACTACTTGTCTATAGCTGGGACCCTAACAGGTGCTACCACCCTCGGTCAGGGTGGACCTGAGAACAACAGCAATTAAGAGGCCTTGATGCCAGATGTAGTTTATCATCATAACGAAGATGCCACCCTCCAAACCGTTCGTAAATAGGCCACTATAGAGATAAAATAAGGGATGGCTAAAGACCATGGTATTTATTGAGTAAAGGGCAAAAATGGGTTGCCTTATGTTGGCGTGGTTGACAGATAAAAGGAATGAGATAGATTGTAGATAGATCTATTTTTTTTACCAATGTTTGCAGTTTTGGTCTGAGTAGAAGTGAAGAAAGTAAAGTGGGGGAAAGAAAAGAAAATGAGTGTCAGGTGACTTTGTTTTCTCCCTCACTCTCAAGCAAGGTAATGGTATGGGGGTGTTGAACACTATGATTACTTGCATTATTTACTTTGTTCAGACGGTTATTCTCATCTTCACTGCCATATTCACAATGTTTCAGCCGTTGTACACTTCGGCCTTCATCAGGTAATTGGAATTTGAAACCGTACCTTTTATTTCATTCATTCTAGTTCCACGTGCCATGCCTCTTCCTGGTGTCTCAGTTATTTCCCCTTAACTTGACTCTCCAAGTTTTGGTTCACCACTGCTGTGGCCTGATATTGAACACACAACTCTTTGGGTCTAGTCACTGGATCTAACCAATGTCTTTATCCACTGGGTCATGTGTCCTTGAGGATGTGGAACTCGAATAATCTGCCCCAAAGTGTTTGCTTTGAAATTCCAATCACCTAAAGAAGGCTGGAGCATACAACAGCTGAAATGTTGTGAATATGGCAATGAAGATGAGGATAACAGTCTGAATAATGTAAATAATGCAAATAATCATAATACCTCATCTCAGAGATATAGACAGATATTGAACCTTATGACTTCAGAAATTATTGTGAAAGGTTTTATATTTATTTTCCCACCCCTGCCATTCCTTTCCTCCTTTTTTTTTTTTTTTTTTTATCTCTCCTACCTACTGGAAAAGGCAATTAACTGATAAATTTAGAGCAAATTCGAACACCACATGTGAATGTTGGACAGTCTCATTTTTCTTTTTTTTCTTTTGCATTAGAAACCACAATTTTTATTAGAGCTTTCATCATTTTCTTACCTTTTAAGAATGCCAAGTGTATAGCCCCCCACCCCTACCCTGTGAGGACCATTATTCCTCAGGTATTGTGGACAGCATTACAGAATCCCAAAGAACAGTACCAGTACACCACCTGAGGACTTTCAATAGAAGCAGCAACTAATACAGATATGTGTAGCAGAAACAAAATACAGATAGAGCTGCAAACCACTACTGCTAATGGTTCCTGTCCCCATCGGTCAAAGAGACAATGTTTAGCGTGCTCTCTCTCTTCAGAAGGAAAGTACATGGCTGTTGTGTCAGAAGAGAGCTGGTGTGAACCCCAGGACATATGGTTATGAAGAAAGTATCCACCAACTTCCCCATGAATTAATCAGGACAGTGAGCTGAGTGGTTTTGCCTAAGCAAATGATTCCTTTTGCTAGTCAAAGTTTTAGGCTCCAGAAAAGCAGACACGTTTTCTGGGAAGAGCAGTGTGTCATGTTGACTGGACAATGTTATTGCCGTGTGTTACCAATGATTTCTGTGTTACCCAGCATCATTTGAAATTTGTGGATCCTTGTTTGTGTTTTAGGTGTCTTAGTTGTATTCATCCTGTACATGTGGTGCTCCCATGTGAAAGTCTTGTGCCCTGCTTATTGTGATCCAGTTCTTTTAACGTTTTATTCCAATGTTGCTGATTGTTCTGTCCCTTTTTGTTGGCAGATATCCAACCAATAAAAAGAAACATCAATATCACATCTGGTCTGGGGCCCCAAATGTATATCTTGAGATTCTTGACAAAATTCAAAGAAAGTCTGCAATGTAATCAATCTTGATCTGGCATCCTGACTTCAAACACTTTGTCACGGACATGACATGGCTTCACTATCATGTACACTGTTTACATTATTTGGACTATTGTCCTCATCTTTGTTGCCATATTTATCACGTTTCGGCTGTTGTACACTCCAACCTTCTTCAGCTGGTTGGAATGTTGAACTGAACCCTTTATTTTGCTTGCTGGGGCAGAGTGTTCTAGTTCCACGTGCCATGTCTAATGGATGTCAGTTATCAGTTATATCTTGT